TTCTCCTCCCAGGAGAAGTCTTGGGATATTCTTGGATTATACTATTTCAGGGTTGAACCCTCTTGTTAACCAAGCACACCCTGGGAGTGGCATCTTGGGAAAAGTCCAACTATGGTGTTGCTGGCAGGTATCAGCCAATCCTCATGAAAGAAACTAAAGTCATGTTCTGAGACTCTGCCTCTGAGGCACGGCAGGGACATGAATTTGCAGCTAGAGTGATCATGGCAAGCTCTCCAAACTCCATGCTTCTAGACACTGCATGAATAGAAAACCACTCTTTTAAGATCTAACCCTTATCTACTGGGCCTAAAATTCGTGTTTTCCAGGTAGTGTGACTGGGGTCTGAGTGTATGAGGTTAATCTCCGTGGTAATAATGGTGGCTTCTGGAAGGTACTCACAGTGGACTTTAAAATCAGTTCAGCAGTTCCTAAAATATAAAAGCTTACATACTACAGTAGATTCATATAGAGATTTTATTGCATCTCACGTTTGTAAAGTATATACTCCAGAGCTTGGAAATATGGCATGCACGTGTGAGTCAGGATCCTGAAAACCTCCTCAACAGAACCGAGTGTCCAGATGCAAATTCTAATAACCTTCTTATTTTGCAATTACAGCCTGGGAAGGACATTCTCCCCAAAGATGACAAAGGCAATGTCGTTGGAAGTAAAACAACATTCATGGATGCCTGGGAGGTGGGTGCCAGTTTCTTCTAAGCATGCCGGGGGAGAAAGCTTTCCTTGAGTCAGTCATGAGACTCCATACTGGCATGAAGGAGACCACAGAACCAGTGCTGTCTAATCTCATCATTTTCATTATCTAGTTCTTCTAACTCCTTTCTTGTGACATTTAGCTTTGGGGTCCATCTAACACTATTCAAATAGCAAGGCTAATGCTGAGTTCTGAAAGAAGCCTGGAAATACATTGTGCATCACTATGGGAGACACACATGATTTCACAAATTAGACAGAGGCATTTGTAACAAGGATTTTGTCCTGGATGTGCACGCAATAGCTGAGTGACCTAGGGTAAGTTATTTAACTCCTACAATGCTCAGTTTCCTCATCATACAGAAGTCTTATATTTCACACTAATAATACATACTTTTAGGATATGGCAAAGATAAAAATAGCTGACACACCGGGAATGTAGTCACAGAGCCCACATTACTGTCCAACCCTAGGAGGCAGTGTTATTCACATTTACAAACAATTGAGACATGACTAGGTGGGTGACTGGTTCAAGTCACAAAGAAAATGTGTGTTGGAGCTATCCTTTTATTCTGTGTCTCCATGAGATCAAGTTTCTGAGCTCCCATACATAAGGGACAACTTACAATATTTGTCTGGCTGTGCCTTGCTGATTTCACTGGACATAATGTCCTCCAGTTTCATCCATGCTGCTGCAAATGACATGATTAGTTCTTTCTTATGGCCAAATAAACTTCTAGTGGTATGTATACACACACCATATTTTCTCTAACCGTTTGTCTGTATGGACACTTCAGCTGCGTCCATATCTTTGCTGTTGTGCTTAGTGCTTCTGTGAACATGCAAGTATAGGTCTCCCTTTGATACACTGATTTCTTTTCCTATGGAGACATACCCAGTAGTGGGATTGCTGGGTCTGCATGGAAGTTCCTTTAGTTTTCTTGGAAATCTCTATATTGTTTTCCATAGTGCTTTTATTAATTTACAGTCACACCCAAGCATTTTCCTTATCTCCTCATCCAGAAAATTTTTAAAAGACTGTTCAAAAGTCTCTGGGTTATGTGTAAAAACAACCCCCTCCCAGAAATACCAGCCATAATAAAGAGCCATCTCCAATATCACCATTAGATTTGCTCAGCAAGGATCTGTCACTTGCAGTTTGAGTCTACAAGTTAAAGTTAGTAATAAAAAGAAAACAATGATTTATGCAGTTAAGAGCCAGGCTAAGTAAATTACTGAAATATCATGTCTCTTGAGCAAGAGACTATACATGTAAGTAAATAAATATTCCTAAGAAAAATATGTGGTGGCATCAATGTATCAGCCATGTCTGTTTCCTCCTCATATACTGAAGCATAATCCAGGGTTAAATGTGACAGCACCTATTATTATGCATGCTGTGAGCTGGCTGAGCCCTTATAGAAGAAAGAGGGTTCAAACTACATGTTGAAGCTGATGTCCTCTTAAAACCATACAAGTTATTATCCAACTATATACAGCCTTAGATACCTGTTTGATATATTTACTGAAAGAAATGTATTAGGTTTAACTCATCCAAGAAAGACATTACTTTCTCTTTGAGAGTGACAAGATTGTAGCCATAAAAAAAATCAAATTCTGGTACTTAACTATAGAAAAAGATTGATTTATTTCTTTTCCTGCCATGAAAAAATCTTCCTGTTGGGGAAAAATCTGGGGATTGATGGAGTCAAACCAACAAATATGTTATTGGTGAGAATGGAGATTGTGGAAACATTCACAAGATAACCTAAGATTTCAATGCTCACTTTTGTACTGAATTTTCCAGGAGGGCTCTGCAATTTCTATTATCATGGTAAAACATGGCTTCTTAAATATGAGGACTTAGTCATTGTGAGATGTGGAAACTGGCATGCCTTTAATGTTAGTTCTAGAATGTTTTGCCCTAACCCTTACGATGATATGTGTATGACAAATATCTTACTGTTCTCTGCAAAATGTACACCAATTTCCGCAGTGCTATGTCTTCTGAATGAAGGCAGTAATAATTGTGAAATGAAACATTTTGGAGATATGTAGAGTGCTGAATGATCATGGTCAGAGGCTGTGACTTGAATCAGGCAGGATTGCGATGTAAGTGGTGGGTGTTTAGATGGACCCACGCAAGCTCAGTAGGAACTTCATTGACCAGAATGAAGTTGGGGTAGAGGAGAAAAGTGTCAGAGGTAGAGATGGATCACGCAGGCACATGGGAGCTGACCACTTGGGTTTCAGGGACTTTAGGATCTCACCAGTTCTAAACTCTGTTGCCCCAGGCACTCCGGGGGTCAAAGCTGGGCATCAGTATTTTATGAAGCTCTCAAGTGATTTCAAAGCCAAAGGTGTGAGTCACTAGGTTAGTGTCCCCTGAACACACAGGGCTCACTCCTGCCTCTGAGCCTTGGCTCCTTCCTCCCTCACCTGTTCTTGCATTTCCCCTTTCCTCCAAGTTGTTTTTTCTTTTTCATTCTACCTGTAAGGTGTCTCCTGAAGACCCTGCTCTAGGCGTCCTCAAACTGCGGCCCGCCTAGGACATTTATCTGGCCCACCGGATATTTTTGTGCTGCTGCCTGTCCTGCTTAGCAGCAAACTCATCCCAGGACCTGCCCGCAGCCCGGCCCTCCAACGGCCTGAGGGACAGTGAACTGGCTCTCTGTTTAAAAAGTTTGAGGACCCTGCCCTGGTCCATATGAATCCCTTCCTTCTCTGCCTTCCCTGCTCCTCAGCTCTTTGCCACGGTCCCTTTACCTGAGGCAGCCTCAGCCCTGTGACTGTTCTCCCCACAGAGGAGGAACCCAGTATTATACTGGGACTGTAAGGATGTCAGAGGAAGGAAGCAGGTTGTACACTTTTATATCCCAACTGCTACCAGACAGGATCTGGACACATAATGAATGGCTAACAAATACATGTTGAGTTTGCGGTTGCTGCTAACTTGTATGGCATCGTTAGACAAGGTAGCCAGATGTCCCTTATGGGCTAAAAATTATAAAGAGATAACCTTCCCCCTTCCTTGGGGTTGACATAGTTTCCACAACAAGGTGCCCAGCTGGGCAGATGGAGAGTTGGCAAGATTCCAGCCCCACATAGCCCTTGGCTGGCATCCCTGCCAGGGCACGATGTATCCACACGGCCCTGCAAACCACACCATGGGTGGTGGGGAGTGAGTGAGCCAGAAGCAGACAAGTAAAGCTTCTCCCAATGCTGCAGCCTCACCCTGGCTCCCCGGTTCCCCAAAGGTGGGGTAAGGTGAGAGCAGCGAGTGCACAAAATCTTTCCCTTTTACTACCAGGTTCCTTAGGCTGGGGGTGGGGGGGGAGGGTGGTAGGGCTGGCTGATCATTTACAGGCACCTGGTCTTAGACTGAAGTTTCCTTTCGCTGATGCAGCCAGCCTGCCACAGTGGACACTTTATCAATGTCACCTGCCCCAGAGAGGACTAAGGCAGGTGCACAAGAGATGTCCCTTTCCTCACAGGTCATGGAGGAGCTGGTGGATGAGGGCCTGGTGAAAGCCCTTGGTGTCTCCAATTTCAACCACTTACAGATTGAAAGGCTCTTGAACAAGCCGGGACTGAAATACAAACCAGTGACTAACCAGGTAAATTCTGTTTGGTAAAGGCTGAGGGTCTTGGCTTATTCACAAATGTTTGGAGGCAATGCCAATGCCGTGGGTTCAGTCTCCCTTCAGTGGGCTGTGATCAGACGCTTTGGGGAGGTGTGAGACTGATCTCAGGATTGTTTTAGTGAGTATATCAGTGGGGAGGTGTTTGGCCTTTGCTTGGTGGTCTTTTTGTGTGTGTTGAATCCCCGAGGTGCAGCCCAAAAGGCAGGCCGACTTCCCTGGTAAGGAGATTGTTTGCTTTTGCAGATTGAGTGTCACCCATACCTTACCCAGGAGAAATTGATCCAGTACTGTCACTCCAAGGGCATCACTGTCACAGCCTACAGCCCCCTGGGCTCTCCAGATAGACCTTGGTGAGGCTTCTGAGTGGTGGGTCTTTCTATTGACACTCTTAAAAGAATTATCGTGTAATTAATGAATGTGTTTATGAGACTATATAATTCATCAGAAGAAAAAAAGGGTTTAAGGTAATGTCTAGCATGGCCAAATGGCATTCCAGTGGGAAAAGATGAAAGTTCAAGTGGTGACATCACTGACCCTCTGAGAATATTCTAGTTCACCCACCTGGGGGTGGACTGGACAAGCCTTTGCAAAATGCTGAGGCTCAGAGCCCAAGAGGCTTTGACCCATGAGCGGGAACCAAAGCTTTCAGGTCTTCCTGCCTGTCTGGCAGATGGCAGCCTTGACCCATCATCAGGGGGCTGCTCACCTGCATATCGTAACCATGGCGATTATTCACATTGGCCATCTTTCTGTCTCTAGGGCCAAACCAGGTGACCCTTCCCTCCTAGAGGATCCCAAGATTAAGGCAATTGCTGCAAAGCACAAGAAGACCGCAGCTCAGGTACAGTGTTTATTGGTTTCCTTTTTTTAATTCAGCAATTCATTCTTCCAGTCTTGAGTTTATGCCATGTTGATTTAAGTCCTTGAAGGGAAACAAAACAGGACATGAAGCCTACTAGCATGTTCTTTGAAAGTGTGCTGAGGCTTCTAGGAAATAAAAGGACCATCACAGAAACAAGGATAGTATCTAACAGCAAATCATGGTTTGATGTCTCAAGATCTGGGTTCACCAACTCTACCATGTATCAGAACACCCCACCCAAACCAGTTTTCTTATTCCTAAACAAAGAAAATCACAGGGTTGTTGCTACGATTAAAAGAGTTAATCAAGGTGAAGACTGGAAGTGTCTGTCATAGTTGTTAGGTGCCCAGACAACACTAGCTATTATAACTGAAGCCACAGTGAGCTGGAGAAGTATTTCATTTGTCCTTTCCACAGAAGGAAGTGACCTGTAGATCAGTTGGAACACGATGTCTCATTTCTGTACAGGTTCTGATCCGATTCCATATCCAGAGGAACCTGGCCGTGATCCCCAAGTCTGTGACGCCATCCCGCATTATTGAGAACATTCAGGTAAGATCCCAGCTGCTTGGCCCCTACTCCTTTCCTCAGTGGTGTAGGGTCGGGGAGACCCTCTCACTAGGCTTCTCATCCTATCCCTGCGTTGTCTGTGGGTCCCACCTCCTTCCACCACACTGTCACTTCTCAGTCCAGAGATCTACCTCAGCAGAGCTGAGAGGACTGACCCGTGAGCTAAGGACCAGTCCCTGCCCTCTGATAAGGTGGAACCCTGTCAGGTCTGAGCCCAGGTTTGCCTCACACCATTGAGGAGTGTTGCCGTGGGGAGTGAGGTCGTGAACCACACACAAGGGCACCCTGGCCTGGTCTGAACACCCACTTCCCCCTGGCAGAGGAGGAATAGATTATATTTGGAGAACTGTGCTCTGGAGGAATCCAGCAGC